GCACCCCAGTCAGTAATCAATGATATAAATTGAAACTTTTCCTGATAAACTTCAAAGACTTTACTTTTTTTTCCCTCACTTTATTTTTCATTACTCTCACACTCAACACAAATTCAACACTTCCATTCTATTTTTGCTGTCTGTTGATTGTCTCCTGCAGATCGCATTCTCACTTCCTTTCTTAAGCTTTTCCTTTGCTTACATGCTACCTTCCTTCATCTGAGCCCATACTTTCCTTCAGGCTTGTCTCAAAAGTTTAATATCACCAGTTGCACAAAAAGTAAGTAAAATGTTTTAAATGATTGATTTCTTCTGTTTTTCAGCAAGTTGTCCATCTTAACTTAGCAGAAGATTGCATGAATAAATTCAAGCTTAATATAGAAAAGCTCTGCAAAACTGAACAGGTATGTGCAGTCAGAAATGCCTATGTTCATAATAGATTTCCAAATGAACTTTGTAAGTTAAAAACCTAATTTTTTGCTTGGTGTATGGTTAATTTTTGTAGAATCACTGACTTTCTCTTTGCAGGGGACCCATCTAGGCAGTATTTAATATATCGTTGTCCAGCAACATTTATAAGTAGCTATACGGTATCTTAGTAAGCAGTCTCTCCTAATCTGTGATCATGCATTTTTGGATGAATGGGGTGATTTAAGTTTTTAGAACATTATTTCAGGACAGCATTGTTGGCAGGACTTTTTCAGTGGGTGGAGCATTTAACGTAGCGTCCTGCGGAGTACTGCGAAGGCACATTTTACTTGTTTTGAGAGGTTTTTGTATCATACCTCAACTGTTCAGATCATTGCCCTCTAATAGAAGTAGAATACAAGCTGAATGCAATTTTAGATATTCTAGTAGCCATGTTAAAAGGTAAAAAGAAAGATATGCAATTAATTTTAATAATAAGCTGGACACGGTGATGTGTGTGTATGTAGTCCCACCCGCTTGGGAGGCTAAGGTGGTAGGATTGCTTGGGCCCAGGAGTTTGCATCCAGCCTGGATGACATAGCAAGACCCTGTCTCTTCAGAAGAGAAAAAATTTGATGTAACCTGATGTATTTAAAATATTATTTCAACATATAATCAATATAAAAATCATTAATGAGATATTTTACATTCTTTTTTCCCTACTAAGTCTTTGAAATATGTTTTTGGCTACATTTCAAATGGTCAATGGCCATTG